CTAGGTGAGAAGAAGTGGAGGCCAGTATTAGACCAACCCCCTTGACTTTGCCATTATAAACATGTATTTCGTAATATATCCAGATCAACATTATGGTTATGGTCCTCAGTTATGAAGTCTAAAGACCTTTTTGGCTCATTAAGAATTTTATCTTTGGTTCACTTGGGTCCCATCCCGTATTGAATATACATTACTTACTACTTGTAGTGATAAATGTTTATTCAATACCTACAAATAAAACATAAATTTTGTATTAAATTTAAGAATACTGTTCACTTACATGTATATGTAACTTGAAGTTCGTCTCTCGAGAGAATCGTATTAAATATAGTAAGAAGTTGAAATCAGGAGGATACAGTTTTAAATCATTGAGATGTCTGAGACAAGTTAAGTTTTGCTTCCAATATTTAACAAGCTACATTCTTTCCAATCAAAGGGAGTTTCAGAGAAATGAAAGAAAAAGTTTTTACTAATAACAATTAGATATATGTACAATGAAAATCGCAGAAAATTTTTTTAAAGAAAAAAAAATTGGGATGCAGCGGTCATATGGTTACTGAACAAGTTATTTATCCGACATAATTTTCAATTACCTATAAAAATATAAAGCGACACATAATATATAAATATTTAAACAGATTTAAAGAAAAAAGAGCATATAATATGATTCTCGCGAGGAACGATCACGTAAATAGCTGAATATGAAATAATAATGCTTTACGAGCAGGTTTAATTTTCCATTGAGTTGAAAGGGTACCTGTTCTCTTTTTCAGTCTATAAAATTTGATTTGTTCGTCTTATCCAAATGACCAAAATCTGAACACCATCCACTAGTTCTTTCATTATTGTTAAAGAGCATTTTCTTTACGTCATATTAAACTTTGATAGTTTGTATTTCGCATAACTGAATTTACTAGTTAAATCCAGAAGGGGGGATAAGGCTCAAAAACTTTTCAAATTAAAATCCGTAAATTCCTCTGTCATCATACAAGTGAAAAATAATTCGTAAATCACAGAAAAATATCAAATATCTTATACTATCATTATTCATTGTATAATTTAGAAAAATTCTTATGCTGATCTATTTTTCTTATAGTTTTCAAATCGGGATCGAGATCCACCCCAATTCAGATTCATTTTCAGATTCGGATTCGAAACATCTCTATATACAACAACATTTGATTTTTTTGGTTTTAAAATTCAAATTTAGAACATGTTAAATACATTCTTTATGAAACCACGTGAAGAGAAATTTGTAAACAGGTACACTATATGGCCATAAGCGAGTCATAATGTTCAGGGATGGGGTAATTGAATAAAGTAATTGTAATTGAGTGTAATTAATTACATTTTTCAAAGTAATTGGAAATAATTTGTATTTGAGAGAGCCTTCAATTACAAGTAATTGAATGTATTTAAATACATTTCAAAAAAGGTCATGTATTTTCAATTACTTTTCAATTACATTTCAATTACTTTTTTTTCAAAATGAAAGTTTATATTTAAAAAGGTGTCTTATACTGATACATAGTTTTATACTGGTGGGTTGATTACTTATTCCCATGTTTTATAAATCTCAGTGCTCCCTATTCCCACTTGCAAATAACAATGATTGTTTAGATAGTTAATTTGTTTTACAGCAATTAGACTAACTACATCCCCTTTTACATTTACCTGTATTCTATTCATTTTAAGATAGAAAAAAATAATGAATGGAATTGTGTTGGATATTATTCATTTCCTTAAAAAAATGAATTTGAGAAAGTTACAAAAAAGATCTTGCCATACACCATACTGATGTAAATTCAGTTCAGTTCAGGTGTAGCATGGGCTTGTGTTTGTGCAATAATTAATTGTCTAATAATGTTTTATTTGCTTATACAGTGTGTCGCACTCATTATAAGGTAAAGGTCTAATTTTGACCAGGTGTGAACCCCTATCATACCCAAGAACAAAAACACTGAATGAAAGTTCGAATTCGATCGCTATAGAAAAAATCTTATTTAAAAAAAATCTTTATTTTTTTTTTATAAAAATAAAACTCGAAGTAATTGAAATGTATTTAATTACATTTGTCAAAGTAATTGAAAGTAATTAATTACATTTCAAAAAAAAAACAATGTAATTGTAATTGCAAGTAATTGACAAAATTATTGATAATGTATTTGAAAGTAATTAATTACATTTTAAAGTAATTGATCCCAAGCCTGATAATGTTCCTGACGTCACGGCGTCAGGTTGTATAAGGATTAATATTTGCAAGATCCGAAACTAATACATCATACCTCGAGAGCTAGATTTTGTGCAGTCTGATTTACATTGGAATTCTTTACCTGCATTTTATAAGAAACAGTTTTCAGAAAAAAGAATGATATTACTAATGCAAAATACTGTAGTGTTTACTTACCTAATCTTTTCGCATGGAACAATTAGTCCATGTGATTCACCGTTTCAACATGTCCGTATATCTTTTTTTCTGCATTTCTATACTACTAGATCAGTCCATTTATATTCTACGAAAGGGGTGAATCGCTCTTTTCGCGCCAAATGTCACAGTAAGCTTCCTTAGATTGTTCTGTTGTGTGAATGGGTGTGCTAACGTACGTCTATGGAATAAAATAAAGTTTGTCCTTTTATAATCTCCTTCTAACACTTCAGAAATTCTATGTACAAATTTTATCTCATTCTTTTAAGTAACATATTGTACATATCAGTATATGGACATGCAACACTAGAGAAATGATTTTTTTCTAATTTGTTTCCCGATCCCGCGGTTTGTTTACTACATAAATGGGCTAGTCCAATAGTGAACAACGCATGCAGTTCAACAAGTCATGGAACATTTGTATCCCCGTTTCAGATGCACACAGGTAAGAAACCAGTACAAAATCTTGGATTTTTCTTTCCACAAAGGCCTAAATATTGAATTTTCTTATTTCATTTTCAATATATGATAGTGACAATAAACCCCCCCCCCACCTCCTTTTAAGAAAAAAAAATATTAACACACATTACTACTGTTTACTTCAGTGGAATAAATACATTCCGACAAAATGTGTACTTTAAATTATATCCATCCTTTGAAATGTTTAGAATGCATGATTTCATAACAGATATTATAGATACTACCTTTCAATTTAGATCTAAGGGCAGATCACTCCACTTGCACCCCCCTCCCCAACAGAAAAACAACTCTTCAGTACGTAGTGTAAAATGATTCTTCTGTAAGTTAAATAAAATCAAGGATTTCGTTTACACAAGTTTTTCAAAATGTAAAGTAAGGACCTATTTTAAACCCAAAAAAGTATTGCTCAAAAGGTTTACCAATCCTGATGCAGATATTCATTGATTTAGTCAGGCAAGCTTTTTAAAAAGCTGTTACTTGTCACACTTACGTGACGCGCGATGTTGGTGTTATTTTAGACGATTTAAATAAAAATACTCGCAATATTGGTGATTTTGGTATGTGAGTGGATAGGTTATGAATAGAAATTCCCGATTTCGGTCAGAAAATAAAGTTTTACTAGCCTTTATGGGAAAAATAGATTTTTACAGCGCAAACAAGACCTGTATTTTAAGCGTGTAACCGTTACATTTTAAGCAGGGATCGCGCATTTTTTTCTTGTGTAGAATGTTCAAAAATGACTCTAGAGTTTTCATTTTCTTCACAGAACAAGAGCAATCAATGTCGTTTGTGACTTCATTAGCAATTTTTGTATAAATGGTTGCAAGAAAACGCAAGCAATTGTTTTTACAGAAAAAAATCCGTAACGCTATAACTTAAAAACGTGCATATGTATGGAAAGCCAACGGGTTCAAAATTCCAACTCTGTAATTCTTAAAATGTGCACATGTAAACCTGAAATTGTAAATTGTAAATCATAATATCATAATTTGTCAATTGTTCTATCACAATTTGTTAATTGTAACTATCCAACGTAATTTTACAAGTGTAAAATGTAAATGCAAGTTTTGTCGATGTTCTTGTATTATTCGTAGGTCTACTTGCGATTTGTCAACTTGTGAAATGTAAATTGTAGTTTCGTGATTTGTAAATTAGGCAAGGTTGCATTATGCTAACGCCTATTAGAGAAACACCGACATCTTACGAAAGAACGTAACTCGCCCTAACTTCCCGTATCTCGATAGTTTTCTATAGGAACATTTATTGCACCCACAATTAATTTTTTGATGACGTTCGTGATTTATTGGAGAATAATGTCCGCGGCATTTCTTTGATGTCGGCAAAAATCGTGGTAGAATGTTTCACTTATCATGATAACGTCCGGGAGAGTTTTGGCCTGACGTAATAATCGCTCCACAAAATAAAAGTGTAATTGATGCAAATCACCCATATACCTCAAACGCTGGCAAGACAATTTACGGCAACAGATTTCAGGGGGTTTCCAGCTTTCTTGGTTAAAACTTGATACATTCCACAATTTATATCAATTATTGATATTTTTACTAATAATTAATTAATTGCCTCGCGCACATCTTCCCTGGGGAATAATCACAGAATAACATTAATTTGGCTTTTATTGAGCAGTTGACATTATGTAGTCTGAACTTCATTGTTGGAAATAACATTTCATTTGGTAATTTTATTTACCATGCTACATGACAAATAACCCTTTTCCACAGAAAAATAACAATAACCCTTTTCCACAGAAAAAGATGTTATAAAATAAAACGTAGTATTAATGAGAAAAGAAAGATGTTATTGCAAATAATTTGTTTTCAGTAAATTCATCTTCACCATGATTTTAAAAAAAAGAAACTGAGCTGTTTGCACATGATCTTTTAAAGATAAATTACCGAACGAAAGAAACTATGTAACATATATCTGTATATATAATTATTGATTTCTTTCCGCTTTGTGAATTTAAGCAAACCACGTCAGACGAGCTTTTTAGGAAAGCTAATACTCCTTTATGGCCAGGTACCGTAAGACGAACCCATCCGTTACCGACTTGATTTGTTACATACGAGTCGGTTAGTGTACGAATTGACTAAAAATCTTCAAAACATCTGCCGCAGTCTTTATTACTGTTTCTGATTCGAAGCCAACGATGGTTTGTGGAGGTTTTGTCTGCTCCAAGTCCTCCCTTACGGTCCTCAATGTATTGTACATAGTAAGTGAAGTTAGTTTAAAGACTCCTGATTCATTATCTCTTCCGAATAAATGTTACTGCAAAATCCAGTAAGTTCACTGATACTATTAACCGTTCTCACAATGCCACGGGACCTTAGTCAACGTGTTGCCGTCCCACGGCTGCGTGTTGATTTTATGTACATTCTGCAATAACACATTTAGGAAAAAAGAGTGATAAGATAGCTATAAATCAAGCTATTCTAAATAGATTACTACAGCGACAAGAGCAGGTCCAGTACAATCACCAGGTCCAGCACAATCGCTTGATTAAGCTGTATAGCTTTAAAAAGCTATATAGCTTTATTTAGCTATTTAAAATAGCTTAATAAAGCTATTTATATGCAGTTTTTAACAAAAATGTTTTTTAGTAAGAAATAAACAAAAAGTCGCAAGTATTTGACCATGCATATATGTACATTTGGCTATGAAAAATACAACCTATATCATAGAAAGTTCTAACATTGCTGTTGTTGAATACTTTTAAGCAAAAGATGAATTTCCATTGTTTGAGTAACTGCAGTTTTATACTGAGTGCGGTGAGGCGTGGATAAGTATGATTGCTTCTCATTGTGTTGAACTGTTACCAGTCAATTATCCTGTTTGCCATAACTGACCTCCTTTATAATTTCATTCAAGAAATAACTGTGTGGTCACTCATCAATAGCCCCCAAACTTTTAAAACTTTGAGTACAATGTCTCTCAAGGAGATGCAATTTGTTGAGTAATTTTTACATGCATTGTGTTCAGAAGAGTTCAAAGTTTAATATTCCCACTGCACCAAGGTGCGATTTTTTGCACATGCTGAAAAATAAAACATTTGAGAAAGAAGTGTGATGAAAAAGCTTAATCAAGCTATTCCGAATAGCTTGATAAAGCTATGTAGCTAAATCAAGCTATCAGTGATTGGGATAAGCACGCGCCCTGCGCCATAGTCGCATTAAATTTTAAAATGTCACATTCAAATTAAAAATGCTGTGCCATCGTGGCGCATATATAATCATGCACTAGCAGCATTACATACTTTTAAACTTTGAGTTTTCCCCCAAGCGTTTGTAATATTTCCCAAAACAATCGCTGTCAATTTTAGCTTGAAAAAACAGTATTTAATGTTGTTGATTTAAAGCGTTCTTATGACTTTCTTTTCTGCAGTATCTAATCAAACAGTTACGTGTTTTCTGATTGGCTAACGCACACGAAATAAAGTGGTGTCAGGAGTGCAGCATGTTGCCTACGAAAATACCTTGTACCGATAAAGGGCAGACTTTTCATAATTTTAACAATCCTAACGAACAGAATTCAAGTAAATCGGTAGAAATTGACTCGGATGAAGTATAACATGCTGACAGAACAAATAGAGATAATCTGATGGTAGGACTGATGATGTAGTCTCGAAGGAAAAACAAAAATGAGAAAATTTAACATGAATTGGAGAGAAGCAGTATAGATCTAAACCAGGCTTTAATAAATCATTTTAAAGATGTCAAACATCGGAGACAAAAAATAAAGAACTGAAATTAAATTGCAGTGTTTATTTATTTTCTGACACTTGTGAATTTTGTATCTTTCAATGTCGTTATTCAATAATTTGACAATTTCAAATAAGTAAAGTCAACTGAAATTCTAACAGCAACTAATCAATTGCAAGTTTGTAACTAGAAAATGTCCCATTAAAAAGTCTGTTTGGCGCATTGAATTTTGAAATGTCACATTGACACTGACTTGGAGTGTGCCATTGTCACATTTACTCCCTATCTTATCCCAATCACTGAGCTATATAGCTTAATCAAGACATTGTGTCGGACCTGATCACTAGATTTAGCTATGTAGGTAGAATTACCTACCGTAGCTTTATTTACCTACCTCAGGTAGCTTTATTTATAGCTATTTCAATGCAACTTTTCACAATTTTTCTTTTTATTAAAAAGAGACAAAAATCGCAATTAAATGACTATTAATATTTATACTAGGGAGGTTTAAAAAAAAATCCAACACAGGGATAGGTTATACATTGCTGCGTTTGGACAATTTAGAGCAAAACGTAATTCCATTGTTTGGTTAACTTGTCCTCTCTCATGCGTGCTATGAGGCATGGCTGAGTATGATTACTTCACATTGTGCTGAATAATTACCGATCTATTATTGTGTTAGCCGGAACTGGACTTCTATGTCATTTCATTCAAAGAGTAACTGTTTTAACTGTCATAAATAGCCCCAAAACTTTCAGAACTTTGGGGCTATTGCGCAGAAAAAGACATTTCTTCAAGAGGGATTTTTTCATGAATTGTTTTCAGATGAGTTCAAAGGTGAAAATGATCACTGCATCAAAATGAAATTTTTTGCACATCCTGAGAAAAATGCTTATTTTATAGAAATTAATTGATTTGGTAGCTATAAATAAAGGGGTGCATCGATTTACCCAAATGGAAACAAATGGACCCAAATGGAAACTCAAGTGGACCCAAATGGAAATCAAATGGACCCAAATGGAATATAAAATATGTATATTATATCGTATTCTCAAGTTTTTACTTATTTAAAATATAGAAAATAATGAAATTAACCATGTTAACAAAAAGGAAACATTTTAATATCATTATTTTTTTCAATTGTATTTTTAAAAATGCGATTTAGCGATTTAATTCTATTTGTAATAACTATTGAACATAATTGAATACAAAACTGAAGTATTTTATAGTTTCTATGGCCATACAGTGTAGGAATGGATGGGGGGGGGGAGAGGCCATGCCACCCCCCCCACCCCACCCCTAGATAATTTTGCGGGTATATAGAATACTATCAAAAATTTATGTCTCTAAATAAAATATTAGAGATTAATAATAAATATTAAACTCCATTTGTAACTGTAAGTTCATTTATTTTCATCATTTTAAATAAGTAATAAAATACGATAATACATATTAAATATTCCATTTGGGTCCATTTGTGTTTCCATTTGGGTCCATTTATTTCCATTTGGGTTCATTTAGGTCCATTGGTAAATCGATGCGCCTAAATAAAGCTACCTCAGGTAGGTAAATCAAGTTACTGTAAAACGAGAATGTTTAGCGCACTACTAATTTTAGCGCCTTTGGCGCAAGACCCCCAAACGCTAAAATTTATTGTGCGCTAACGGATTTCTAAATATTATTTTTTATGTGTGCTCAAAGTTTTCACATAAGTACATGTAAATTAGAACGTGCGATTACGTAATGTCGAAGGGTCGTTGGATTTTATATAAACACAACCACTGTACATGGTAGGATTGATCAAGAACGTTCTGCCAAATTATAATGTAATTTAACAATAATTGTTACCCTGGTAGTTTTTACCTGGCCTATTCTTATCTTTAGCACCTTCAATGTTTGGCTTCTCGGCATGTCAATCATCTATCTCCTCGAGGTAAACAATGCAATCAAGCATGGCGATTGAGCGGCTTGCAGACAATACCTGATTATGATTACCGTTTATCCAAGTAACTCTCTTTCGATGCATGAATTGTTTTAATGTGAATAAAATGCGTAAATACTCCACTTCTTTGATTTAAAATAAAATTAAAACAAGATGTGTTTGTGAAACACTATGCGCCCGAGGGCAACAAAGCTCAAAAAATATTTTCAGAAGATAAGTCAACGTCACAAGGTCATTGACCTTGATGTCATTTGAGGAACTTCATTAGTGGAGTATGCACACCAAATATGAAGTCTCTATCTGTCATGGGTTCAAAAGTTATGGAGAAAGTTTGTAAAATCTATTTTTAGCTTAAAGGTCACAGTCAAGGTCACAAGGTCATTGACATTGGTGTCATTTGAAAGAGCGTCATTGGTGGAGTATGCATATCAAATGTAAAGTCTCCATCTCTCATGGTTCAAAAGTTATGGCGAAAATTCGAAAAAACTATTTTTAGCAAATAGGTCACAGTCAAGGTCACAAGGTCATTGACCTTGGTGTCATTTGAAAGAACTTCATTGGTGGAGTATGCATACCAAATATGAAGTCTCTATCTTTCATGTTTCAAAAGTTCTGGCGAAGGTTAAAGTTGACAACAGACAGACAGACAAACAGACAGGACAAAAACAATATATGCCTCTGATCTATCGATCCAGGCGCATAATAAATTTTAACATTGTGCCACGTCCATGTGATTTCAATACCACGGTAAAGTTGACGCATGTTTACTTATATACGGGAGTGCTCTTGTGTTTCCGTGCTTAACAAACCAAAAAGTCAAATACGGGTGTGGATTAAAAAATCAAACAAAATATCACATTTTTATATTTTAATGACAAGTGCAAGCGCTAAAATTTATTTGCGCCAATGTATTCCCACTTGCGTTTGTGCTAAAATACGTATGCGCCAAATTTTCTTGTTTAACAGTATTATACTTCTGTTAAAATGTTTCCTATATAAAGTTCAGAAGGCAAAACTATCCTTTATAGCTCACGCGTAGCAAAGCTATACCCTGGGGTATAGTTTTTGCTATCCACCCTTGGAAAATTTTCATGCAGTTGTTGCCGCCAATTTTGATTTCCAGCGATAAATCTTTAAACTGATGATGTCATAATGACTTCAGTAGCATTGTGACGTCATCAGGATTTCAGGTTATTCTTGCAGAATTATTTTACTCCAAAAAATTCAAACCTCAGAAATTATATTATACATCAGTATAATAAAACGCTTATCCACTTGGTGTGAGTGGGATATCTCTTTTATCAAACCCTTGACAGGAACTATTCCCCTCGGGCAAACCCTCGGGGAATAGTTCTCTGTCGCGGGTTTGATAAAAGAGCTATCCAACTCACACCCAGTGGATAAGTGTATACTATGTAGCTAAATCTAGTGATTGTACCAGACCTGAAGAGGTAATTCAAGCTACATTGCTAGAAGTACTAATTGTACTGGACCTGATTAACATGCTACAACTGTACATCAGGTACACACAGTACCTGGTCATAAATGAGTCATATTGTATACGAAGATTAT